CAAAATTTATTTATTTTTTGTTCAAATAAGTTTTAGAGTTGTATCTTCTAAGATACAAGACTTATAATTTATATTTCGCGCCAAGTTTAACTGTGTCGATCCGTAGGTGATGGGTCGAGCTGGATTGATCCAATGACCAAAACACGATACACGAGTTGAATTTGATTGTTTGTTCCAATACAAGTTACACTCGTATTTTATAATTCATTAGACTTTAAATTTTCATATTTCACATTTTGTGCAGTATTTTACTGGATTTATCGAGAAATCGGGTCACAATGTATGTGTCAAATTTGATATTTCTTAAAATTTAACAAAAATATGATCTTGTTTATTCATGAGTGGTTGATGGATTCGAGCATTCATCAATATTCATCAAAAAGAAAGTTTTTTTTTAGCTTTTCTCACTGCTTCTAGGGATTAAAAAGGATCCCAGAAACCAAATTCCGCTTCTTGAACTTCAATATCTTAATCTCTCCCAAAGGGTAAACTTCAATATCTTAATCTCATATTCTTTTTCATTAATAGACTCGAGTTCTTCAAACTCCCTCTCCGAAACATCGAATCTTTACCCATTGCATTTAAAACCATAAAACATGTCTTCAATCATTTAAGGACAGAGGAGGAGGTAAAATTTTGGTAAAAACGTGATTTTCCTTTTGCCAAAACTGAAGTAAATAAGACTCGTAACAATAACTGTTCATATTGGTCCATTCACACAAGGGAATCCATATATAACTAATATATACAGTATGTGCGTATTTCCTTTTTGTCCCTTAGTCATACTTGACCTGCAATTGAATTGGAAAGTAATGCCATTCACAGTTCACCGTTCAAAATGTTGGATTCACTACTGTTCCATGGATCCTAAAGTCTAAATTGAGGGCAATTACAAAAATGAAGTCCACAAAGCTATTTGCCTATTTCCCTTATTCCACCGACTTAGTGTGGTCTATGTATGGGTCATGACCACTTTTCACGACTGAAAAATAAAATGGCAGAGTCAGTAAACCCAAAGAAAGTGATAAACAAACTAATTAAGATTGGGATGGTTTTTTAGTGGTGTTGTCCCCAAAAAAGGATAAATCTCAGTTCCTTCCTTTTGTCTCTCTCTCTCTCTCTTCACCCGAATTTTCACATATTCTGCAGTATCTTAAAGCTATTACTACTTACCTTGTTTCTGACTACAAAAACAACCCACAAAAGCCTTTGTAGTTTGGATTAGTAATTCCCATTGAAAGCTTCTTTAATCCAACAAGTAGAGTGTGATACCAAATACGTCCGACACAGCAAAAGCAAAGCAACCGATGACTGTTTTTTTTCGAATTCGTCTTTCTGCATCAAATGGGCTTGTTTCCGAATTCCTTCCAGAAAGACTGAATCCTTAGCCCTTGCTTTTGGCCTTCATTGAGATCCCCGGAGAGCTCCAGAGTGGTCTAATTATGGCTCTCTACTCTTTTTGATATATCTTCTACTTAATAATTTATGCTAAAATAAGATTTGATCCCTTATCATCTAAATCCAACTCTATCCTTATCCCCAATAAGATTTGATCCCCGTAATCTGCTGTTTGTTGATTTCTTGTTAAGATATGATTTCCGTAATCACCATTCCCGATTTGTAATTTTTTTTCCTTTTTTTTTTTAGTGAAAAATGTCTAAGAAAGCTACATAGGATTTAAATCCTAATTAACATAAGGAAATTACCTTAAATTTTCTCTCTCTGATTTTTGCCTTAGTATAGTATATAGAAGATATGATAGATGGTAGTTAGCCCTTCGGTCGTAATTGATGAAACTCTTGTATCGAGACAAAGTTTGTATCAATATGTAAATTTTATTGGTTGTACTGCTCTCCTCATTATTCATTGGTTTTGAGGTGAAATTTTATAGATTTCTATAATAATTATAATACATAAATTAACTACAACATTGTTCAAACTTGCGTCATATACTCCCTCCATTCACAAATAGATGTCGTTGGAGGAAAACTTAAATATTCCAAAATAGATGTCGTTCTCACAAATCGAGGCATATTTTGTCAATTTTTTCTAATATCACCCTTACATTGGAAATTGTTGTGATGTTTAATGTAGAATTGTATTAGAAGTGAATTTTATTGGGACTACAATTGAATTGAGAATAAATGAGGGTATTATAGTATTTTAACAAGATAATTATTGACTCCTTAAACTTTGTGAAATCTCTCCAGCGATATCTATTTGTGAATGGAGGGAGTAATTTTGATAAGAGGGCGCATATATTATGTAAACAGCATAATGCAACTTATGATGTAAAGTTTCGTTAAAGCTGAAAAAAAAAAAAAAAAACATATAACATGGATCAAACGTAACTAACCGACTGATTGTCTTGGTGGCATTGTTTGGTAGTGTATTCTTGCAGGCAATAATTTGTGATTTGGTCCATTAATTAATTTAAATTTAATTAACTATGTTTTGATTGTTATATTTTTTGAGATGGATATTTTGATGTTAAGTACATTGCCATCCACAAAAAACACAAACATTTATAAATTCTTCATGTCCCTCCCTCCCTCTCCCATGGCATTTTGCCAATTGCCAGCCCAATTGCAAACCCTTCGTTCTATTGTGCTAGTAATGAATAATAACTTTGATTTTCAATACTACTTATCTCCATTGCTACATTACACCACCGTAAATGAACACCCACAAACTATTGAAATTGAATACGAAACATCACGAAGTAATAAATAAAATAGGTAAAAATAACAAAACAAATTAATAAATTAATACATTAATAATTATTATTTTTATTTATAAATTAATATTTTATTATTTTAAAGGTATTTTTTTTCAACTTTTTTAGGAAATAAATGCTTAACTTCATCCTTGCTTCCCTATATTTTTATGATCCTATCATTTTTATTTGCTGGTTTGAGAGAAAAATCAAAAATAAATTTTTCTTAGAAGTAAATTCCAAGAAAAAACAAAGCTCAATAGCCTCATACTTTCTTAAGTCTTCTTAAATTTTTTTCTAGTATTTTATGTTATTATTAGTTTGTAATTTTTAGGGGACCTATTTTTATATAAGAATTTTTTGAAATTTTATTATCTTATTAATTTATCAATTTTATTTAATTTTTGTACTGATCTTGGGGTGGAATCGAAAAAATTTATTATTTAAATAGAATTTATTAATTCAAAATTTTTTACTGTCCATTAATAATGTTTGAACATAATTAAATGAATCAGAATTAATGCAAAAGATTAAAAAATTTTTTACTAAAAATGGAGGAAAATAAAAATAAAATTAGAAAAATATTCTTATCATTATGTTGAGAATAACGTACAACAAATAAGGGAAAATGTTGGATCCAACTTAACACGACAAATGAAAAAAATAGAGATGGTAATAAGAACAAGAAGGAATAGTTTGGGGAGGGAGAACAACGGACATATTGACAAGGCCCCATAAATAAGAAATCGTCCTCGAGATTTCTGGGATCCATCTGTCCCGATACCGCTGTGATTGATACAATATTTAGTGTGTGACTGTGTGTGTTCTTTTTTTTGGTTTGAAAATATATCTTACTATGTTGTGTGGGTACTGGGTTGGTTGATTGGACTAAAGCTTGGAATGACTGTTGCCCACGTACCGAGGCAATTTTTGCCGAGTCCTCTGATGCCAATTAACACTGCCAGGCAATTTATTTGACATTTTGGTGGCCACATTTTGGCATACCTACACTTTCATTTGTATTGTACGTTTTTATCACTCATTTACGAGGATCTCAATTATATATTTTTAAGAGAAAAAGTCACTTTATGTACCCTAAGAATAAGGGGTTCTAGATCATGTATCATAAGAATTGGTTCTATCAGATTATATATCTTATGTTTGAATTTTGTTATTTTCAGTATTTTTTAAAGGGAAAAATAGGAAATTAACAAAATTTTGTCCTAAATTACTGTGTTTTTGTCCCAAACTTCTAGAAAAGAGCATATTGCACCATAAATTTTATTAATTTTACACATATTTTATCTTTCAGTCATATTTTAACAAATTACACCTAAATTTTGGGTAAAATATTTCCCATGACTTTCAGTATTTATTATTTTGACGTGCATATTTGTTTTATTTTAGCAATTTTTTTTTATTATAAGTTTGATCTATATTTTTATTTGTCATTTTGCATGCTTATTTTAAAAAATATTTTTCATTCTTTCCTTTTTTTGTACTTTTGTTTAACTTCTTTGCATTTTGAACACATAATAAAAACGAAATTTTTAAAAAAGTTATGTGTTAGTTGAAATGTATCAAAGTGCCAAGAACTTGAACAAAGGTACACAAAAGAAAAGGAAGGACTAAAAGAATATTTTTTAAATTAATTTTGTAAACGACAAATAAAAATATAAATCAAACTTATAATAACAAAAATCTGCAACAAGAAAAAAAAAACAAATATTACTCCAAAATAATAAAAACTGAAAGTTGTGGAAAATTTTTGACCAAAAATTTATGTGTAATTTATTGAAATCTGTTTGAAAGATATAATTTTTTGTAAAATTAATAGAATTTGTGGTGCAATTTGCTCTTATCCGGAAGTTTGGGGACAAAAATATAGTAGTTTAAGACAAAATTTTGTGAGTTCTCCATTTTACCCTTAAAAAATATCTAAAACAACAAACTTCAAACATAAGTACATGTAAGACCAATTCATAGAGTACATGTAAGACTCCTATTTTTAGGGTACATAAAGTGAATTTTTTCCTATTTTTAATGTTATCATGTTAAAGTCTATCAATATACTCGATATTGTTAGCGGAATAGTAACATTATAACAGAGCATATAATTTCTTAAGGGGTACCTGGTTCAAGCACGGCTATAGGTTTGAGAATGATTGAAAATAAGATTTATTGCTAGCAAATGAGAATTGTTGCCACAAAAATTGTACAGGAATGAAAACACCAGTTCATTTACTTGGTTCACGCTAATACAAACATGTGAATGGAAGTCAAATTCCATTTTCATCCTTTTGTCCAATATATTACTCTATTCATAATTTTCGCCAACAATTTCTGTAGCAATTGTTCTAATGAAATAATTATAGATTTTATGGGACTAATCATTCCCAATCGCTGACGTTGAAAGAAAAATGATGAATAGGCAGAGAGCGTTTGCATATGGAAAGAGGATTCAAACAAGTCCCCAGGTTCCATTTCTATGGGTACTTGTGTTCCCACTAAAAGTATTTAACTGGTATTTTTTGTCTCAAAATAAATGTCCAGTTTAAATTTTTATGTTTATCATCATCATTTTGGAAAGAATATTATTCACAACATATTCTACCATACTTGTAAAAATACTTGCACTTAAGTAAGGAGGACGGTAATCCAGAGACGTGTGGCCAATACTGCAGTAAATAGCAAACTATATCTAAATGTAATGCGACCCCATTCCAGTTTTTGACACTACCTATAATGTTTCAGAAGTATATATCTGTTTGCTTTGACTGTGCTTTGAGATCTTTTAACTTCTTGAGAATGTTGGTGAAATAATCCTGCAAATATTTCTCCAGCGTCACAATGTCTTTTCCATCCACCCCAAGAAGTGAATATGTCTCTGCCATTGGTACTGAGAACACTGTATCGCTCGTAAGAACCTGCACACCCCGCAACCCAAAAGCTTGTAAGAATACACAGAGATGAGTCAAATACAAATTTCTAATGCAAGTAACTCCGATGCAATATGTCACTGGACCATTGTTTCTATCTAAGTTTTTTTCAAGTGGATAAAAAGTTTTAAGTGATTTAGTTTACCTCTGAAAAGGCCAATCGATCTGCGACATCATTAGTCCACTCGAATAAGCGTGTCAACTGGCGTGTAATCCTCAGGACGGAGACAGGAACTGTGGTCACATTAGCATCCTGCCCAGCAAGCCTCTCACACAACGTTATAACCTGGAATAACCATAGGGCATTGACAACAAGAATTATCTATCAATACAGAGTTACCAGGATGCTATTATGTTGTTCAAAAACCCATAATGATCTATTTTTATAGGTTTCTACCTCTTGCGTGGTCCATGCACGAGGGCCAGCAAATGTCAAGAGCTTTCCATTTATTTTCTCGTTGCGCAATGCTATAAAAGTTAATCGCGCAATATCCTAGGACATCCCAAAAACCGCACAAGCTTAAGACAGCAATTTGATCAAAATGGAAAAACAGCAAAGTAATTGATGCGAATTGCAGGGAAAAGAATGATAGAATTTATCTCCCCTTACTTGTGTGTCCATGTATGCTATCCTTGTAGGAGCATCAGTTCCCCATACAGACTTCTCTTCTAAGATAGGTACTGCATATTGGCCAATCAGTCCCTACAATATGCTTACCAAAGAAATTCTTTCACATGTAACTTTGATTCTTAATTTGTCTGAATACAAATGAAAAATAGGTATCGTCCTAAGAAGACAAGAAAGGTAACAAGTACTAAATCAAAGATGCAGGGCATGTAAATAGGAGCTGATCATGAAAGAAGCAGAAGTGAAAAAGCACCAGATCAATCTTTATGAGAAGGAAAGAGGGTGGGGAAACATCAAAACAGAATGATGGATCATAACAAGATGGAGCAAATCAAAACCTGCATGAAGCCACATAAGCGAATGACGACGTGGTTGAGACCAATATCGCGAAGAAACTTCTCAGTGCAAAACTTGATCTCCATGAGAGGAACCTCGGGATGCTTGTCACAGTTGTGGATGGAGAAGAACACGTACTTCTGGATTCCCATTGCTTTAGCACATTGTATCAGAGCAACCTTTCCTTCCCAATCTACCTACAATTGAATCCATAAAAGTAAACCAAGTTTCATTGATCACGCAAGTAACTTAAGAAATCCTTTAGGAGGCTACAAGTAAGGATCATATGCAGCAAAAAAACAAATAAAATTTCAAGAAACGAAAAGGGGGAGACATCCATCATCTTACAGTTTTGATGGGCTCTTCAGGGCGTCCCGTCGCGCAGTCGATTACAGTATGAATACCAACTAATGTAGCAGGTATTGTCTCAGGCTTGCTAAGGTCTGCCTGCTCAAAAAATTATCATCATTCATCTTCTGATGTTATAATATTTGATTAGTATGGCATTCATCATAATTCTTTCCAATTAGAAAACATGCGATTGAAGGAATGTGAATCTTTTTTATCATTGTTGAATTATAGATCGTGGACTAAGAAAGCGAAAACTCCGACTTCTTTTATACTATCGAATGAATTTTTTTTTTTTAGGAAAAATAATAATAATACTAATAATAATGCTTGAAAATGAAGGGCAGGCAGAAGAGAAGGAGGTGGAGATTTACATTAACGACGGTGGCGCCCCAATCGCGGAGGAAATCGGCAGGGGCAGGACGGGGACGGACAAGGCAGCGGACGTCGTATCCTTCATCCAGAGCTCTCCTCACAATCTGCCTTCCCAACGTCCCCGTAGGCCCCACCACCAGGATGCTGGTCTGCCTCACCGGTGTTCCGGGAGCGAAATTCTTAACCACCTCGGCCGCCACCGCTTTTACCACCACTTTGCCTCCACCAATTTTCCTTGTAGCTCCTTTGACATTACCGCCAATGCTAATGCCGCCGGTCAAAAAATCCAGGGCGTTGGACGACAATTCAGGACGGCATGATAACCCCAAGCCGGAACGGGGAGTCAGGGGTTTGGCGTTGAAGGGGCAGGGAACGGAGTGAGAATGGCGCACGGAAAAAGAGGAGGAGTTCATTTCTCTGAGTCGGTCGGTGATCGATCAATCAATCCAGTTGAATTCTCAAACCCACAGCTGGGGAAGAAGATGGAAGGAGGAGACTGGACTGGACTGGAGTAGAGATGCACCACGTGTCTTTCTCTCATTTGTCTTCTCTCATCCATACGTTTCCTCTTTTATCCAATGCGGGGTTTATAATAAGCGGTGATACTGATGGACTATTATCTTTATATCTTATTTAAATTTTTCATACATCTTCACGCTAATGAAATGCAATGCTCTTTTTCCTAAGGCATTTTCATGTGTATTAAAGTAATATTTATTAAGTTATTCTAATTAAAAATAAATTCCAAATTTTTTTATAATAACTGGAATAACACACTAAATGTGAAAGTATATTTTAAGATTTTTTTTTTGAAAGGGAAATAAAATATTAAATAAATTTAATTAGAGAAATTACACATAGATTGGTAATAGGCGAGCCTATATATCTCTTCTATTTGACTTCGAGCTACTTTTACTATGCTACATCTAGAGAAACGGTTTTTAAAAGTTCATTTTTTTTTTAATGAAAAGAACATAACAAATAGAATTTAGGTATGTGAAGAAACCATGCGTATCATGGTATCAAAATGGTGTAAAGTAACGTTTGAAATAAATTTTAAAAAGTAAATTAAAAAATTATTTGGATAGTATTAAGATTTGTATTTGAGATGTGTGTTAAGAGGTAAAATGAGACAAAACGACAAAATTTGGGTTGTCCAAACAAGACCGGAAATTTCTGGAACCCACGGACATCACTAGCAATGACACCGTGAACCACACAACAAAAGACCATTACAATGACAATTAGTAATGCAAATAGATGGTAATTGCCAATGCCAGGGGAGTAGTAAATTTGCCAAGGTTTCTTGGATCTTGAAGGCCCAATTGTGTGGGTGACCTTAATTATGGAGCCCAATATAAATTGATGTAAATAGTAATCCTCACGACCAAACTTCTGTCATTTCATATGGAACCACAAAATTTTCACATTGATGGCGCCGATTGTCATGCAAAAATGCAACATAAGATTTGGAATCGATACCAACCAGCACTTGGATCAGTTGGCAGGGTGCTGATCCAGTTTAAGCAGAGGTCTCGGGTTCAGAGACTTTGTGTACGCAGCCGTGTTAAAAGGCTGGTTGGTAGAGGTTGCCATCCGAAAGGGACCTACCCGCCTCGAGTCCGAATTAGTCAGCGGTCAGTCAACACCCACAGGTGTAACGATAGCGGCTGGATACCGGATACGTATGTAAAAAAAAAAAAAAAATTTGGAATCGATGCATACATTTCAATAGTTCAATTTTAAAAATTATATTATTAAATAAAGTTAAATTTTAGAAATCCCAGTTTATAAGTGTACTTACTTTAGAGCAGTTATTAGTTGGAACACACAAGACATCTGCGCATAACTTATTATTTTCCTGCCCCGTTTAATGTTTTAAAATTAAAATCCAGGATAACACTAGTAATTTGGAAAATAAAAAAAAAAATTTGGTCAACGCATAATTACTACGTCTTCAAATGAAGGAGTAAAACGAATTGATGAAGAATAGGGGGAAAAAGTCAAGAAAACAGTAGATTCAACGCTTCTAGTTTTGTGTTGGCGGGCGGAACAAAAACAAAAAGAGTAGTTCCTTCTTCCCGGAATCAAAGTCAAAGTCTTCCACTGTTGGGCCTCAGCTGGAATTCATTATGAATCAAACACTATAATATTCCAATTTCCCCACCAGAGGCTGGGGGAGTTCCTTCTTCCCGGAATCAAAGTCAAAGTCTTCCACTGTTGGCCCTCAATTAAAAAGAGCTGGAATTCATTATCAATCGAACGCTATATAATATTCCAATTTCCCCACCAGTTCGTTCATACTAGTATGGTTTCATACCATCAGTCATCGACAATTTCTCCCACCTTACTCTGTTTCTCTCTTTCTCTTTCCATCAGCCATTTTCATTTGCTCGCCTCTCTCTACATCTTCCAAGACTGATCCTGTCAATTTGTCAAACATACCCCCTCCCCTCCAGTCTTCAGATTCAAATAATTCACCTCAAACCCCACACATCAAAAACATATTATAAAAACACTTTTTTCATTTCTTTACCAGAGTCGAGAGCTGAGACTGCTAGTTGGTGAGATAATACACATTTAAAATGGTCACTGTTTGTTGAACCCTCCAGAATAAATTAAGGAGCAACAGCAAAACATGGCGGTTTGTTTTTCTTTCTCTCACCGGAGAGCAGCCGCCTCCGTTTGTTTGTTCACTCTACTTTGGGCTGCGGCGGCGGAATCATTTCAGTGTAACTCCACCGGCGTCACCTGTAGCGCACTGGTGGACTATGCGTCCCCGAACGCCACAACCTTGGCCGCCATTCAGTCCCTTTTCAATCTCCCCGCCTTCACTTCCCTCCTCGCCGCCAACCGCTTTTCTCCCTCAACTCCCACCACCCAGAATGTCTCCCCCGGCCAGACCCTCAAGATTCCTTTCCCTTGCATCTGCGCCAACGGCACCGGAGTCTCTAACCGGATCCCCGTCTACACCGTCGTCCACGGCGATTCGCTGTATCACATCGCCGCCGAGGTGTTCTCCGGCCTGGTGACTTACCAGGATATCCAGAGGGTGAATGGTATCCCGGATGCCAACAAGATTGAGCCGGGCCAGAAGCTGTGGGTCCCCCTCCCCTGCAGCTGCGGCGACGTGGACGGCCACAAGGTGGTTCATTATGGATATCTGGTGCCCAACGGAAGCACCGTGGATGGCATCGCCAACCAGTTCGGCACTACTCCCGACACCCTGTCTACCCTCAATGGCTTGGCCGGTCCCAATGATTTGGAAGCCGGCGCCATTATTGATGTTCCACTCAGAGGTACACTACCCGTTTAACCAAATTAAGACCTTTTAAATTTTAACCCTTCCAGCTTTAAATTGTTTTTATGCCGTGTACTTTTGATTTTCTTTCCCTTGATGAGGTTTCTGATTAATTTAGTTGATGATGGTAGTGGGCTAATCGCTAATGAATGATGAAAGATGTTCCTAGTGAAAAACTCAAGAGTTTCTTGTGGTGCTGAATCCCTTGTCATCCCATCTAATTTATTAAAAGTTTCCCCAAATTTGCTTGTGACTTTGATGATTGTGGATTGGTACAATGCATACCTAGTATTCCTTCTGTCCCAAAATTATTATCAATTTTAGTACAATTTAAATTAGAAATGAAAATCCAAACAAGATAGTAATTATGGGACGTAGGGAGTACTACTTTCCAATTGTGGGTACTGAAAACTTTCCCAATGGGTTGTGGTTTTGTTTATGGGCAGCTTGTGATTCCATGATAAGTAATAACTCCGTAGACTACCCATTACTCGTTCCCAATGGCTCTTATGCTCTCACTGCCAACGATTGCGTGAAATGTGACTGCGCTTCTGCAAACAACTGGATGTGAGTTATAATGTTCTCTTTTGATTCATAGTATTCTTGGTGACACTTTTTTTTTTTTTTTTTTGTCTCTTTCTCGGTATTATCCTAAAATGGCACTTTTGTTGTTTGTTTTTCCAGGTTGCAATGTTCGCCAAGCCAGATGAAACCAACTCCTAATAATACTTGGAGATCATGCCCAAGCATGAATTGCCAGCAGGGTTTGCTCCTTGGAAACACCAGTAGTTCAAGTTGCAACACCTGTGCTTATGCTGGTTATTCCAACCAATCCATCTTCACCACCACTGCACCCATCTCTACTTGTTCCGGTCAGTTGCTTTAGTCCTCTGTTTTACCACAGCAAGTGGACAAATATAAGATAGTAGTAGCATTATTGATGACGACATTTTGTTTCCTGTCAATGTGTTGCAGGTTCTACGGACAAATCTCTTGGGGTGAGAATTGAAGGAAGTTGGAAAAACAAGTTGCCAATCTGGGTGTTTGTTGTCCATGTATTGTTTATTGTGTACTGCAACAATATGTTGTGAGGATGGACTTGATTTTGGAGGTGTTGATATTTTTAGCACCATTATTGATCCATTTTGCCAGATGATACGCATATTTTTTGTTAGTCCATATCATACATCTAATAATGTGATCTGTTGATCATCCTCTATCTATAATACATATATACTTCACCCTGGTTGATCTTCAGTTATCAAACTAAACTAATCAAAGAGACACTTTTAAGGCTTGATTTAAAAGTTTTGAAGGTATATATATTATTACGATGATTAAGTGTACCCTCAATTCTGTCTCTGCAATTTCGATTGCTTTGCTTTAAGCACCAATACTGCACATATCAGTTTCACTAGGAATATGAATAAGTGCCATTAAATTATCGTGAATGTTACTACAATCAAATCATAAACAGTTTGAGAAGCCAACCATAATACAATCAAATCATAAGAAGCTCACATCTGCAAGGTTTTCTAATTTAATTTTACTGTACAGTTTTTTTTTTTTTTTTTTTTGGAAGAAGAAGAAGAATTTTTTTACTGTATAGTTATTATCATGAGACCAATTCTCCTTCTGCCATTTTCTCTTTTCTGGAGTTTAATATACACAAACCTGTCAGCTACTGCTCCAAAGGTTCAATTTTTATTATTCATTTTTCCTTTGCAATCAAGTATAATCACTCTTTTTTTGTCGGTTTGTTCCTTGAATGTTGCTCATCATTCCTCTTCTGATATCTTAATACTGATTGAATTTCCCTTCGGTTCTTCCTTCTTGGAGTAATAGCCCAATGCTTAAGGCAGGAATTTGGGTTTGGTTAAGGAATTTCCAACACCAAACCATTTTTTCTGCCAAACGAGTTGTCAATTTTCTTTCTCCTCCAGCACTCTGAATAATTCGGCCCTCTTCTTTATTATCTCTTCATAATATTTCTTCGGACAAGAAGGAAAAACCCCCCTTCATCAGCAGAGTTAAGTGTTATTTCTCTTCTTCTTTGGGACCGACAAAGAAGGACTCGGTTCAGATTTCCAACAGCGTCATCAGTCTTACGATAATGATGGCATTAGGAAGGTCTCATGGACACCATCAGTAAGGCCAACATTCCTTTTTATGCTTCATTTTGGTCGTGTCCATATGTCGCTAGGCTCTTTATCCCTATTCACGTTATTGAATTTGTCTTGTCCCGTTCAATGCTTGTTGTTTGGTGTAATACTTGATTTCCGGGATCCATATTGTTTGTTTTTGCATGCTATTGCTGTTCTTCTGTTTTGTTATATGAGGTTAACAAAACATGATTTTTTACCAACCAGAACGCGGTTGTTGATATAGCCTTAATTCGACCAAATTGAGTAAATTGAGAAAACTTCCTGTTATGATCCCGGAGCAATGAGAAGCGGACTAGCTCGAAATATGTAATGCTTAGAGAATACCATGCATGAAAAGTTGGTGAAGATAATTGTACTTGTTTAATGTGGAGGATATTTCGCTTGGTTGCTCCCTTACAGTGGGATGGGGTGATATAATTTTGTGGTTGATGTAAGTGCAAGTACTTGCTAAGGGGCAATCTTTAACTCACGTTGTACAGTTGTGAACCTTTGTAACAGTCTGATCATTTATATGGAATGGTTTCTTGGACTGATACGATTGAAAATGGCTTGGAAAAGATCCCTCCACCATATACTTCTGAACTCCAGAACATTAGGCGTGAGCTTATAACACTGTTAGTGTATATGCTTCGGTTAATATTGGCCGATTAGGTTGGTAAGTGTATATGCTTCGGTTAATATTTAAGTCATTCATATAGCTGATGCAAGGTAAACATATTCATATTGTTTTGTCATAAATTTTTGTCGATAGGTTCAATGGAGTTGGCTTCTACTGGTGTATCCATTACAGTTTTTAACACTCTCTCGGACTTATTCAATATTCCTCTCCTTGGCGTTGCCACTTCTTTTTTGGCTGAAGATATTCCAAAGATTACAGAGCAAGTTTCTGTGACAGGTAGGGTGGGAAAATATATCATCTCACCATACAGTTCGACATTCCAAGTCCACTTTTTCCTTCCTTTTTTCCCAACTGCCAATTGGCTACTAAAATTCTCTGGATTTACAAAAATCTCCATTGGTTCTCTTGTTGATGACTTGATGGTCAGAGGGAAAGGGTGCAACTATCTTCTGTTTCTACGGCATTGACTCTAGCCATTACCAATTGCATTTTTGAAGCCTTAGCATTGCTGATTGGATCTGATCCTACTAAATATTATGGGCATACCACCTGTATGTTTTTATTTTTATCTCTTGTAATTTTTCTTACAGTCTTGTCCGTGCTGATACTTATCCTCACTTCAGTTGATCTATGGCTGTGAGTACATATTTAAGCTGGATTGCAGTTATTAGTGATTCATGGTTAAGTTGGAGCCGGTACGGGAGATTAAAATTTTTTTTATGGATGCTCTTACAGATGGTTCTGCAGTCAAGAAAAGGGATCTGTTGCAGTGCTTATTGGCATTAAATTTTTCGGAGTCTTGATAAAGTATTATAAAGAATTGCTATGGTTTTATTTTAGTCTTCTTGGAGGTTCTGTTCACATGCATTAAGAAACTGTTTCATATCAAAGTGTGAATAACAAAAAGTTCCCTTAGGGCTGGAAGCCTTGCAGCAACTCTTTCAATTAAGGCCATACCTTGCTACAAACCGATTCTTGAGAAAAAAATATAACCTTTTTGGTTCAATAAGATAGCAAATGTGGTTTAGGCTAACTCCTCAAACTGCTCTTATGACTCTTTGACAACCTACTATTCCCTGTCCCAAAAGTAGTCCACATTTTAAATTTTAATTTGTACTAAAAACACTACAATTTATGATTTACAATGTGGACTATTTTTATGGCGCGGAGGGAACATTTATTAGCTCTTCTTTATCACGGGAAGGAATTTTATATACTCCATAATCTGTACTTTTCATTTGCTTATTTGTTATATACTTTTATGGTGTAGTCACTCGCGTTATTGCTTAACAAGTTATTGACAGGTTTCTCCCATGGGAACTTCAGCGAAAAAGTTGCGTTGTGAGAGCATTTGGTGCTCCTGCTTTTATTGTTTCTTTAGGTCTTCAAGGCATTTTCCGTGGCATCAAGAAACTCCATTATATTGTTTAGACAAGCATTCTTTCCAATTTCCTTCCTCTTTTACCTCACATGACTGAATTTGAGAAGGACTAACTTGTTATCTTCTGAAATGTTCCTCACATTTCTTAAAAACAGATTTGGTAATTTTTGCATTTTACGTGGCTTCAAGGATACAAAAACTTCATTGTATTTTTAGGTGAGGATTCGTTCCTGTTTCCTCTCTCTTTTACCTCACATGACTTAATTTGAGAAGGATTAACTTATTATCTTCTGAATTAGTTGTTGCACTTCTTGGATACAGGTTTTGGTAATTCTACAGCCATTATTTTGTTTCCATTGCTTATTTATTATTGCCGATTGGGTGTAGCTGGGGCAGCAGTCTCAACAGTTATATCTCAGTAGTTTTTGCATTTTTTCTTTCCCGAAAATTTTGCGTTATGTGCTTCACTAGTTTGTCTGTTTGTTGGATTGCTTGTCTTACATGATTCTGGTGTTTCTTTATGTTTCTTACACAGGTTTTAGAGTATCATCTCTTAGTAAACATGTATTGAGTGGTCTTCTCGATGATTAATTGCCTGACTAAGAGAGCTGTCCTACTGCCACCTAAATTTGTAAAATTGCGGTTTGGTTGTTATCTTAAATCTGGTGAGTGAAGTTAAGCACAAGTAGCATAACTACATTACTTGTTCACTTACAAATAAGTTACTGTACTTGAAAGCCATTTGACTTTCCTTTCTTTTTGATGAATAAGTAATTGTTTCTTTAGGTGGTTTCCTCACTTGGAGAACCCTTGCTGTCCTTACAACCATGGGACTTGCTGCCTCAATGACTGCCCGTCAACTTCCTGTAGCTATGGCTGCTCATCAAATATGCTTCTAAGTATGTTGGAAGTATCCCTCAGACCCTCACTACAGATGGGCTCGCAGCATCGTCTCGGGTATATGTTTTTTTTGGGTGCATATCCCCCACTTTTAAGTTAAGTTAAAGCTTGATGAAGATTGACATTATAGCTGTTTGAAGGTTCCTAATATAGCAATGTTGAAATAGACACCTATGATTTGCCTGATATGATTTTACTTTCCACCGGGCCTTGATTGTCAGTAATTAGTCTCACGGGAAGTATGCAACCATAAAGGAAGTTACTCTGTTTGTGCTGAAGTTAGTTTTCCATCTCACCCGATTTGGGCCTTCTTTTTGCTGCATCAATTTTTCGAAAAAGTTCTCTTTTCTAATATCAAAAATTTTGGACGGATTTCTTTGTTTTCCGATTCGATTATTCACTGGAGTTTCTTTAGCTGCCGTTTTGGGTCTTTCATTTAACTCTTTTTGGTCTCTTTTCACAAAAGATGCTGATGTGTCGAAAATTGTCACGACGGGTGTCCTTGACAATTCCTATAGTACAGCTTATCAGTTTGATTTATGAGTTTCACTTTGTTGCTAAATTCTTTAAAATTTCTGCAGTTAGTCAGCGCCAGTCAATCTATAGGTGACCTAGCTTTTATTTATATGGCCTTCATTATGGTGTTTCTGACTTCTCTTATGCTGCTAATTCAATGGTATGCCAATTTGATCCTTTTCATTACAAGAACTTATATACAAGATAGTATCTGGATTTCTTTTTCTCTTATATTCCTTCTGGCCCAAAATGATTATCCAGTTTGGATTTTTGTTTTTAGTACACTTTGAACTAAAAGATGCTGTTTGGGGCCATCTCGTCCATGTTCTTGTCAGATGCTCCTTCAAGTTTTGGTCTTCCTGGTGTTTGGTCAGGCTCAACTCTTTTCATGGGATTGTGCACGATGGCTGGATTTTTTTAGGTTAAACCGTTTCGGGTAAAAAACGTTCTTTCATTAGTTATGTATATGTCTGTAATATGTAATTGTTAAAATCAAAGCCTGTTCATCTTCCTTTCTCTTATGGTCATGGTTTGTGTCTCTGGCTTTCAGAATAATGTCAAGGGTGAGTCCGTGGTGGTTCCTTCATGATGATGACTGTGACGCCCCAAGTGTAATACCTTTTGGTTTTTATTCAGTTAATTTGTCTATCTCTGCTTATTTTCATGAATCGTTGGAAAGGAGGCTCCTCTTGTTGTGTGTGTTTAAATTTAATTTTTTAATGTATTTTTAAAACTTTCTCTATTCGACTACATGATTCTGTGTCATACTGGAATTCAGTTTCACCGAGATGGGATTTACTTCTTTCTATGCCTTCTTGTTACTTTATTGTTTCTCTTGTTGAACCAGGTAAAACAATGCCATATACCGCGTGGACTGCATCTGCCAAGTACTAACAATTGCTGCATGCTGGCTGACTTTGCAATTTTATTTAATTTCTTTTTCTTTTCCAGCTTGCTGGTTGAGGAATTTAGATGGGAAAAAATCTTCAGACTATACTGCGGTTTTAGGCTGATGATACCTGCACGTATGAGCTGGAAGCTGCTGCATTCTGAAATTTTGTATGGTAGGGGTAGGGGAAGAGGTTAGGATTGCATAAAATTGCATTTTTTTTTTTGGTCTCTTAAATTCGATGTTTCAGTGAAACTAATTTGGACGGTGTGGGGTGGAGCGTTTTGTAGGGCTGTGAACCTAACATAATTCAGCTTCGGCGTATTGATGATTTATCGTAAGATCCTATCTTGAGTAACAGTCTGGGAGTGAGCACAAAGATTTACGGCAGCATTTTTCTCCGTTTTTGTTTTTTGTTTTTTTTTTTTTGTGGGGGGTTTGGGGAACCAAGGGGGCAGGCATATGCCTAGGATTAGGCAATTACATTTCTTCAGCGTGGCGTCACGGTTTACCCATCTCTGGTAGGTTCCCGTCGTTACCAAAAAATGATATCTTTTCATTGGTACAATGAAATTAGCTAAGCCTGATACTATATGGTCTAATGATATCTGGCAGTTCCTCTAGCTTCACGTTGGAGACAATGCAAGGGAGTTTCCTGCAAAGTTAGTTTCCCTATAGAAATGATTGAAGTTAACAGCCCAGTCCCTAGACCGGATCCCCCTTATACCGTTCACCAGCTACAGCTTTTTGTTTGGCAACTCTGCTAGTTTTCTGGTAGTATTGACTGGCAATATTATTATTAGCATATATCCTTCAGCAATTCTGCAGCACTCAAAAGACACATACAAGGGCTGGGTTTCTTTTAGATATAAGCATCCATCTTCGTTGGACAAAAGGCCAATTTCCATGGTAATATCATTATCAAGATCGAAGTCCGTTAAGTGTGACCTGCAAGGCACTGAGGAGCATGGGAAATCTGAGAAATTGGAAGATTGATTTTGGAGAATGGAATCTTGATAGATTGAAGTGTTTCGGCTCATACTCCACGTCAATGTGTCTCTAATGCTTCAGGCATCACATCGAAGTAAAAAGGGATTATACATTTGAAAATTACTTTGATCAGGTATGGCGCATAATCCTTATGGGCCAAACCAATTGCTTGATAGACTCAATTGTTATCATCAGAGTCTGGAATCTGGATGAGTTCGCACGCCAGTTTCCAGTAGCCTTCTACTCCCCCCACCCCCCACCAAACAGTCACAATCGATAAAAAAACAAACAAAAGAGAAACACCTTCAACAAGAAATATAGTAGCTGTAAATACGCATTTACATACGAAATCTGAAAAATGTTTTGACATCTATTAGGAGTTAGAAGATCAAAAAGTATTAACAAATCTTTGATCACGAGAGGCCAGGAACAAACATGCAGAAGTGGCCTGATTGACAAGCCGGAATGCGAAACCCTAGAAAAACTCCCTCTACCTCGTTCTTATTTCTGTAACTTGCACATAGACATTTTAGTTTTGAAAGAATAGCATTTCATAACTGGTGCTCCACCAGAAGCAACAAAAATAGAAACCACGACAATTTCATCACACGACTAGTGTGTTAATGTGTGTTGATGACTGTGCCAAGAATGAGACTTTAATAAACCTTGCCCACGTAGAAGAGCTTCTTAGGCACCCTTTTAATCTAAATTGGCAATCACAGCATCCACGACTTCTTGAGTCGTGCTGCCTCCACCGAGATCCTTAGTTCTGTATTTACCTTCTGCAATAACGCGTTTTACTGCAGTTTCCAACCGATCAGCAAATGAGGGGAACTGCAAGTGTCTCAACATCATGGCCGATGAAAGAAGCAGAGCAACTGGATTTGCCTTCTTTTGCTCAACCAAATTCTCATTCCCCACATTTCCAGCAGATGCACCTTGCTCAAAAACGGCATGGTCAGCCCCGACATTACCTGTCATGCAAGTGAAACAGGATTATCAGAAACCACATATAAACTCATGTCCCAATCCAAGATTCCTAAGACAAGGATAAATGACAAGGTAGACTAGCAAAAACCATTCCAGCTGATTTCTGTCAGCGTATTGAAATATCACTCCCCTTGCCCCATATCTGAATAAGTACTCAAAAGGTATTGCCAATGCAAATTTCATTACCTCCAGGCATGACACCAGTTCCTCCAGCAATACCAGCAGCGGTATTTGCAACAAGATTTCCATAGAGATTTGGCGTGACCTACAAAAGCAAGCTTCCAACAATCAAGCGCAATAGAAGACTATATGACCTCACTTGAAGAGACCATTCACTTTTCAAATGCAAAACTACTATGAGCATCAAGACAGAACCATCATTATCCCAATAAGACTAGCAACATATTAAATATAATCTATTTTTCCAAGAAAAAAAAAACAAGTGAAATCTACATGTGCGATTATGCAGATCAGGTTGGTTTTGCATCAGCAAAAATGACTAAAATAAGAACTAAAAACTAAGTTCAGTGACCCCAAAATAGATTTTGTGAAACCGCCTAAATAAGATAAACAAGCCTAATCTTTTCATTAAAGTTACTCTCCATCCAGTTCAAGTTAAAATTTTGCATGATGCACATCCAGGTCACTGAAATGAGAATTGCACAATCGCAAAGATTACAGAGAAAGTAAGTGGTGCTGAAAAATGGAGAAGGTAAAGGTTAACCAGCCAAAATACCATAACATCAAATTGCTCAGGCTTTGAAACAAGTTGCATGCAGCAGTTGTCTACAATGATCTCATTGTATTGGATACTGGGGTATTTACTTGCAACCTCACGGCAAGATTCCAAAAAGAGACCATCAGCAAGTTTCATAATATTTGCTTTGTGAACAGCGGAAACCTTCTTTCGGTTGTTGAGATAGGCGTACTCAAAGGCATACTTTGCAATCCGCTCTGAGCAGAACTTTGTCATCACCTAGCAAAAGGGCTTAATGAGATACATAAACTTTTCCAATTTTACAGCAGTATAGATCCAAAAGATCCTTGTGATACACCTCAGCCACAACTATTTGTATGCACATCCAGAAACATACGCATCCTAAGTCTCATTGTTCTGAAAGTAATCAGAGATTGATGGATGGCAAATTGCCGATGAAATTGTCATAGTCAAAAACACCAAAAGAACAGAACGAGTAGAAGTATCTACTGTTTAACCATTCAGCTATTAAACCCCAGTGACTAAGAGACGAGACAACAACAAATTTAGCTTTATACAACCACATCTGGTGAGTTTAATACACTGGACAAACAAAAAGCCGACACCATCAGCAGCCGATTAGTAGGAATGGCATCACTTTGAAAGGAAATTTCATAAGTTACTTCCATTAAAAAGACCACTAAAGAAACATTCAAAGTCTAATGGAGAATAACCATAACGAAGCTTCTAACAATTAATCTCACTATGAGCGGTCGTCTACATAAATCTAATTAACAGAAATGATGTCAACAATGGAAAAAAGATGAGAACTATATTGAAATGGCTGCTTATTTTTTTCCCCTTACCTTAAGGCTTTCGACGACGCCAGGAACAACCTCGTGCTCAAGGCCAGAATATTCCCCCTCAGTATTCTCCCTAATGACGACAATATCTACGTTGTGGTGGCGCGTGGGTAGTCCCTGTAGATTGAAGCAGTGGACAAGGGAAGCGTAGAGGTCAAGCTCCTTCCGAAGCTGGACGTTCAGAGAGTGGACCCCACCGCCGACGGGGGTCTTTAGTCCGCCTTTCAGGCAAACCTTGTTCTTCCGGATGGAATCCAAAACTTCCTGGGGAACGCTCTTCATGTCACCGTGAATATCGTATTTCTCAAAATATACGGGAGCGTGCATGGCTTCCATGACCTGCTCGACGGCGCCGGTGACCAATGGACCGATTCCGTCCCCCGGAATAAGGGTGACGGCTCTTGGAGCTCCGTCTCCGGGTCGGGGCATATAGGTGACGGATCGGGAGGAGGAGCGGCAGGTGGCGGATAGGAGATGGTTAATGACCGGTTTTAGGGTTCGTCTGGAAGCCATGATGGTGATCGGAATCGGGTTTGCGGCAGCTTTTCTTCTTTCTATCTGGTTAATACTCTATAAAATAAAACTAAAATTAGGGAATTTTTATTTTTCCCGGTTTAAAAAAATAAAGAAAACTGGATGAGTAGGCGCGACGACTTTGAGCTTTCGGGTAAAAGGTGAGAGATGATGCGAAAGGTATAAATAATTATTAAATCTGAAACAATATATATATATATATATATATATATATATATTTTTATTTTTTTCAAGAACAGCTAAAATTTTCTTTCTTTCTTCTTTCTTTTTTTTTTTTTTTTTTTTTTTTGTGTTTTGGTGAAAGCTCAAAGTTTCTTTATTTACTGATAAATATGATCAATTGTCCATTTCATTAGAAATAAAAATTCAAATCCGACAATCATTTCTAATAAATAATTGTTGATATCGGATTTTCATAGTAACATTGGCATATTCAAACATTGTTAATTATATTGTATTACTTCCTTCTAGTTTATGATCGATCGAGAGGTTGATATTGACTCAATCCAACCAAGTTCTAATTCTGCTTGCATAGTTTCCGTTTTAGTGCACGACTTTGTGCACATGAGAGATAATTTCAACAGTTGTAGCAATAATTTTTCTGAATGATGAATGACATAAGCACATCCTTTCAATCCTAATTGTACTACAATTATTTGGAACATCATGCCAGCATGCTTTTTTAAAAAAATAAATAAATGAATTTAATTTTTCAAAACCCGTTGCAAAAAGTGTTCCAACCATATACCGGAAAAGAATATACCCGTTGGACAAGAATATTAGTTAAAAAAATGGACAAGACATATAATTTTTATTTTTTTTGTGGTCAGAATCTAACTATACCGGAAAATGGTTTTCCGTTTTACTAATTCTCATTAATAAAACGGAAATCCGATTTTCGTTTTTATTTATTCCATTAATAAATTATGAAATTGGTGCGAATAATATTGACGAAAAAGGGAAAATCAATTTCCACGCAAAAAAAAAAGGTTAAAAAACGGAAATTGGAATTCCGTGTTTGAAATGGAATCTAAATAATTGTCGATACTGACCCACTGGACGGGGACAAGTCTTTCAAAGAAACACGGAAATCCAAATTTCGTTTTTGTGTCGAAAACCGGAAATCCAAATTCCGTTTATAATTTTGAATGTACAAAACAATAATTGTGTTGAAACTGACGTGACACTGACGCACTGTAAGCGGGACCGGTCGGACCATGCTTTATCAGTAAAAACGGAAATTCAAATTCCGTTTTATGCTTCATTTATAATTGAATAATTTCACTATTTACTCGTTTGACAGTTTTGAATCTGAAGGAAAATATATAATTCTGCTGTGTTTTGGAGAAGGAAGTGAGCTTTAGCTTGTTTTTTTTGCCACATTTACATCATTAAGAAGGTTAGTAATGATTTAATCTTATTTATTACGTGTTATTTCATTTATTATTTTTTTCAATTGTTTGAATTAGTGTAATTATATTTAATGGTGAGATGATTTACGAAATCAGTAATCATATATGTTATATGGAATAATTTGTTTTGCATATATTTTTATTAAGATTTTTAGGGTCGTGTTTAGTTGATTCTAATGTCATTGTTAATTACATTAATTTATTATGGATTATTACATTTAAACAGGAGAAAATGGAGTGGAATGGTCCGTATTTTATTAATGTATATTGGAGAAGTAAGTATGTTATAGAGGATGGTACGATTAGAACCTTTGATAACAGAGCAGATGGCACATTGTTTATTGAATGGAAATTGTCATATTCTGAGTTTTTGGGCAGAATTTGTGATAAAGCTGGATGGGATAGATATTCTGTGAATTTGAGAATTACATTGTTGTTTGAAACTAACGGTATTAGAAGGGCCGCGACAATCACTGATGACTCGTCTTTGGAAATTATTTATTATTTTTTTGGATCATCAAATTTGGATCTGTATGTGGAAAATGACGGGATAGTTCATGCCCAAAGTTTACTGGATCTTTCTGGACAAACGATGGGTCCTTTTACGTCCCAACAACAATGGGGCAGTACTTCCTATCAACCTACAGAAGGAGGACCGAATACATTTTGGTCACAGTCACATTGGGCGAGTACTTCTCAACAAAATACAGAAGCAGGGCCAAGCAAGAGCAGCGAGGATCGATTCGTTACCGAGGCTCAAGGCAGAGATAAAAATGATGGACATGATTCGAATCAGGATGATAAATCAGACGGTACTTATATTAAAAGTGAAGAAGAAAGTGACTATGAAACATCTGTGGCAGATGAAACTGACGACGACGATGCAGGAGAAGAGCAACAACAACAACAGGCAGAAAAATTAATCATTTCTTATCAAGGTCAGCATGTTTATTCAGATATTGGTGACTTCAATGCTGCGTCAATAGACCGAGATGAATTTGCACTTAAGATGTGGAAAGGAAAGAAAGAAAACATTGGTTTAAGGACGTGCTTCAACAACAAGGAAGAGATTAGGGCCGCTATGGCTGACTGGAGCTCCTGGCAAAATAGACAGTATTATGTTAAATATTATGACCCAAAATCGTGGGTTGCAGAGTGCATAACCAGAAAAATGGAAACCCCACCTGGCCAATCAACTTGTGGATGGAGGATGCGTGCGTCTCGTAAGCCTCATGGTCTTTTTGAAATTGCAAGCTGGACAGATCGACACAATTGTGTGGGACGTACCACATGAAATGACAACCGTAATATAACAGCTGGGGTGATTGCCAGGCTTATAATGCGTAATGTTGAAACAGACCCAGATTATTTAGTGAGGTCGATAAGAGATGATGTGAAGAAACATTATAAGGTGGATGTGAAGTACAAGAGAGCATGGCATGCAAGAAGAAAAGCCATCGAGGCGGTGTGGGGCAATTGGATCGATAATTTTTCCGAATTACCGTGGTACGATTTTTAATTTTTATGGACTATTTTTTTTATTTACATTATGCATATTTTTTTTTGTTTTTTACTTTGCTGGACCTATTTTAACATGTTTGTCTAATTTTTTTAAAAATAATATAGGTATATGGCAGCATTGCGGAAGTCTAATCCTGGGACAGTTGTTGAGTGGAAATGGCAGGATGGGACTGAAAATCAAGAGTATCGGTCCTTCAAATATGTTTTCTGGGCATTTGGTCCTGCTATTGAGACATTTCATAAGTGCCCTCCAGTTGTGAGCATCGATGGCACGTTCCTTCGTGGTCAATACAAGGGGAAGTTACTTGTAGCAATGGTGAAAACAATGAACGAGCATATTCTGCCTATCGCGTTTGCACTTGTGGAAGAAACCGAAGAGAGTTGGTCATTTTTTCTGGTAAATTTGAGGATCCACGTTCTCTTCAACAGAGTCACATGTCTCCTATCAGATCAGTATAAAGGGATAATCAGTGCATTGAAAAAAAATCCTGATTTGTGGCACGAACCAGGTTTTGGATACCATAGGTATTGTCTTCGACACGTTCGGAGTAATATGATGGCCAAACACAAAAGCCAACTGTGACAAATAGCTTGGGTGTGCTGGAGATTGGGAAAGAAGTTGCAAGCGCACAAATTTAGAAGATTTTGGGCGAAGTTGGGTGAGTGTAATGAAGCAGGTCAAGCATACATGCGTTCTATTCCAAAAGCGAGGTGGAGTCTTGCCTATGATTTGGATTATGCACGTTGGAGCAACCTGACAACAAATATATCCGAGAGTTACAACAATGTCTTGAAGGGCGTTTGATTTTTACCTATTAGAGCTATAGTGGAGTCGACATTGGCCAAAACTGTCAAGTTCTATCGTGAGCAATATGAAAAGGCGATAAGGTGTGATACCCTTATTAGTGATCAGTATTGAGAAAAATTCTGTGAGTTTGAGAATACTGCTGCTGGTCACGATTTGGAAGTGTACGATGAACCAAACCTTGTATACAAGGTGACTACCGCCTTGCATCGTGGTGGTAAAGGCCAGAATGTTCACACTATGGAATATAGTAAGGCGCGTTGTACTTGTAAAAAGTGGCAAACTTACAGGCTTCCCTGTTCACACGCATTGCGTGTGTGCCGAGAAATTGGTGATCATCTAGATAACATAATACATGAGTATCATAAGACAACAACGTGGCGTGAGCAATTTCGAAATCCTAGATTTATGTCCGTCACAAGAAAAGAAGAGTGGACATTTCCAGGCTGGAACCTTGTTCCCGATTATAAAAATCTTGTTCTTTACAAGGGTCCGGGTCGTACCCAGAAGCGGCGATACATGATGGCCATGGATTATAGGGGTTGACGCAGAAGATGTAGGAGATACGGCGCTGCTGACCATAAAACAAGGGAATGTCCTTGTTCGCACCGCCAGAGCTGATCGGACAAGAATAAACGTGAATTGGGATGCTGATGGTTTCGAAGGTTAGAAGAAGTCTGAATAATGAGATTGTTGAAAATGTTTGCCAATGTCTTTGTTGGTTAGGGTTTTGTGAATGTTATATTTTTTGTGTAAGAAACATCAAATATGTATTGGAATGATACATTGTGTGTTTTTCAGTTTTAGATATATTTGTATTGTTGTTTATTAGTAATTTTTTTTGTGACTGTTATCTCAACGATTTGTTGTAAATACTGTCGAATAGGAAAATCAGAAATTACCTAATTTAATTAAACATAATTAACTAAACAACGCAAATTAGTTTTCCGTTTTTAATTCAAAACGCAAAACCATTTTCCATTTTTTATAAAAGTGGAAATTAGAATTCCGTTTATGTCTCTATAAATGTACCAAAACTTCAATGGCAGGTGCATACTCAACATGTCAACCGGTAGTAGAAGCAGCATTTCCACCAGCAGTAACTATTTTGCGATACGAAAGATATTATTTTCCGATTTGTCAAGAAATTTGCAAGTTTACTCTTTCTAACACTCCAAAAAATCCCGATCGGCTTTTTCACAAGTGTCCTAGACATAATTTTGTTGATTGGGCAGTGCCTGTTGGAAGTAATATTGTGACAACTTATGAAGAGCCTCCTAGAAGAAACGATTCCAATAATACGATTTTAGTTGTTCTTAATCTAGCATGTATGATATGTTTGTGTTTAGTTCTGGTTATTCTGCTTATTAGGGGCTAATGTAGTAGTTTCATTAAAAAAAAATGCTTTGGACGTAAAAATGTAAAAAAAAAAAAAATTACTTCTGTCTATAAAAACGGAAAATCGTTTTTCGGT